TTCAGTTGTAAGAGACCACGACGTCCATGGGCAAAGATAACAGATTTCTTAATAATTCTTATATAAGAAAAGAACTTGTGATGTTCTAAAAGGATTTTAACAGCACAAAATTGTCTACTCTACGACGCACTTTTTCTACAACCGACTCACAGCTCAGCTCTTAACAGAATGACGAAAGAGGATTGTTGACGGCAATATATACTAATGCAACAATGTCGAATAAACAGATGACGCAACAATTAGTTTCCTAGGTAACATAAGCATTGTTGTCGATCCATATTTACACATTGTTGGTAGTTAAAAAATACAATGAGAATCACTCTAAAACCTTGCATACCGTGTGGTGTATTGGAATATAAAACGTGCATACAAACAAAATTGTCTACACTTTCAAGGGCACTAATGACAAATGCGTTTTGACCTCAAGAGGTTATCATCAGTGGCAAAAACAGTAATTCTTTAGTCTGTCTATTAAAATCATACAATTCAGGAGACGATTGTTTGTTATAAAGCACTCGGCATAAAAAGGTTGCACTTTTTGAAATCATTTTTGATAATTGTCATTATGCTCAAATTTACAAATTAATTAAATTAAAAATTAAATCCATGGCGTAAGAACCCTCTGAGAGCCAAAGCCTCACGTTCACATGCCTAAGCGGAGGTGAACGATCATCCAACCAGATACAGGGTGACGTGTGGTCAGCACGATGAACCCCCAGCCATTGCTGGCTTTCCTGACCGGATTACGCTACTCATTGTAGCTCCCCAATTTCCTCACGATGATGGGTTGGCACCGGTCCCATGCACTGGTCGAAAATCTCATGAGAAAATTTCCTGTCCCCCGAGACTCGAACCAGTGCGCATTCCGTATCGCCGGTCTGAAGCATGATGCCTCAGACCGCGCGGCTACGGCGCGGGACTCACATTAACAATAATACTTCAATTAAATCTGAAGCTGAGCACACAAAGCGAGTTTCAAATGTAAATAGGCCTGGAAAAATAAAATAATATGTAGGCTAAT